GGATTTAAGGGGCCCTGGCAGTGCCCCCACGGGCCGATGGTGAGGATGCAGGGCCCTCTCAGGAGATGGGAGACCCTCCCAGAAAAGGTCAGAAGTGGGGGGCTGCCCCTGTCTGTGGGGAACACCTCGGGGCCTCCGCTGGTCCCGCTGCAGCCTGGAGCCCGGCCCTGCCGCTGCTGGCGTGGCCTGTGCCCTACTTCCCGTCCAGGGCACGCCCCTCGGGGATCGGTTTCCACTCCAGAACATCTCAGCCGCCCCCTATTCACGCGGGTCTCCTCTCCCTGCACGATGTCCTCACACTGAAACACGCAGCTGCGTTTCCTGGCCTAAAGTCCCATTTGAAATCTCTCCCAAGGAGCATGGAAACTTTCATCCTGGCTGGGTTTGCGGGAAGACCTCAGATTGCCCTCCAGGAGCCCTGGCTGGGCGGTGATCAGATCTCCATCCTCTAACCTCGTAACGGGAAACTCGATTACCTGGAGCTGCCTGGAGGCCATCCGTCCTCCTGCCTTTCCACACGCAGACAGCGGTGTGTGGCTGGACCACGGGACCTCAGGGGCTGATTTCTGCATCCTCCTCCCTCCATGAGCCTCTGAACTGGGCGTCCAGGGGAGAGAGGGAAGCAGTAGAATCTCGTCCCTGGAAGAGGCCTCTGGACTCAGGATGGACGAGAAGTCACTCCCAGGCCTTTAGAAGCTGCCGTCCTGTCTCTTTAGCCCTGAGGCCGCCTGGCCGTGGAGGGCGGCGCTCTGACCATCTGCTCCCCAGTCACCAGCCCTGCTTCACCTCGTGTGTTGGCGGCGCTGCGTTTGTTTTAGTTTGTTGGTGTTATTTTCCTTTTTCCTATTTCTGTTTTTTCTTGTTTTTTTCCTTTATTTTTAAGGGTTTTTTTGTTTGGAGGTGCTTTTGATACCAAGAAACAGAAACATGCTTGTGCCAACTCCAGACCAGGGGCTCTCCTGCCCACTGCTCCCCTCCCTCCCACAGCCCCCCCCCCACTGCTGTCCCTTGTGGGTGGCCCAGGGCGGTCAGCCCAGGGCAGCCTCCCCGTGACCCTGCAGCTCACTCCAGTTGCCGCCAGTTCTGAGTAGCTCAGTAAATTTCTCAGGAGGCAAGGTGAGTGTGTACTGGCCGGACAGTCGTAGGTCAGGCCGCGGGGAAGGCCAGGGCTCTAGAGAGCGTGCGGGGCAGCCAGCTGGTGGAGGCTTCCTGTGCTGTGAGGGGTGTGGCTTGGCCACTGCAGTCCCCGGGTCTCACTCTTGAATCCCCACCTGTAAGGACAGGCCTAGAGGACGTCTTTCAGAAAGGTCCCCACCCAGCAGTCTGGCTGGGAGGGCACAGCCCTGACCAGAGCCCCGGGTCCTGTGTCCTGGGCTGCCCCACGGGGATGGTTCAAGGCCAGTCCCAAGCCAGAAGGTCCAGGCACCAGGTGTGCTCTGGCGATGCTCACCTCCCTCCCCAGCCGCCAGCCCCCTGCAAAGTCCCAGGCCCATCCTGCTGTGGGCTGTGGCCGCACAGCCTGGGAGCCCCTGCCCTGGCCTCCATCCCTGCCTTTCTGGAGTCACGTGTTCCCCGCCCACCAAGAAACAGGGCAAGGGAAGGAGCTGGGTTAGACGGTCTTTATTCAAGCTCTGTAAACCCTGCAGACTGTAAATTGGAAGTCCTACTAATATAGAACTGGGAGCCACAGTGTGGCCAAAAGTCATTTTGGGTGTATTTGGCAACTTGAAAGCCCCCTGGAGACGTCCATCCACAGTCAGGATTTTAGAGCCAGCGGGGACTGAGGTTCACAGGCGGCTGCAATGGTGTGAAACTGAACTTTGTGCTAAAGGGGTGGTGTCCTGAGTGCTCTGTGCAGACACATTTCCCTCACGTGTTGCTCATCACGGCCCTGAGGGGCAGGTGGAGCTGACGTGATGGACCCCCTTTACAGAAAAGCAAACCGAGGCCTCGGGTGGTGATGGGCTGGCCCACGGCAGCGGGCAGCAGGGGGAGACCAGGGACAAGGTGAGGCACAGGACCCCCACTCTTGCCCCAACACCATCGCTGTTAGAGGCTGGTTTGAATACAGACGTTACACACCGTGCAAAGCCCGGGAGTCAGAGCTGTTTCGGTGATGGGTAGACGCTGGACAGAGGGAGGCCTGGGATGCAAGGCTGTCTTCCTGACCACTTGCTCCCGGCCCCTGGGAGCCTCGGACACTCCGTGTGCCTGTTTCCTCATGGAGAGCCCTCAGAACGGGCTGGGTGGGTGGCTGGTGCCCCGTGAGCATCCTTCATCCAGCAATGCAGGCAGCAGGAAGGTTCCAGACGCTCAAGTTCCCTCTGACATTCAGAGACCCCACTGACTGTGAGGAAACATTAACATCCAGCAGAGAGCAGGCCTTGGTTCTCATCTGTTTCCTTTGTCTTGTTTTAACGCCGCGGCGCTGCCAGTCGGCGCACATGGAGGACGTCGGGGGGTCCACTGTGCTTGCTGATGAGCCCCAGCCCGCTTTGCCTCCGGCTGGATGGCCATACAAAATCTGTGTTTCTCCGTTAATCTTGCTGCCTCCACATCTCACGTTTAAATATCATTTCACTGACGCTTCCTCCCGCCCCCAGTCTTTGGTTCTGGATAAAGAATTTGCAAAATGATTCAACCTGTGAACAAAAAGCCTTGTGCCCTCCGGACCAGGCTGCCGTGGGGTCTCCCCAGGCCCACCAGGCACTTGTGCTGCAGGGGCTGCTTTCCCACTGCTGACTCCGGCGGAGACCTGGGCGGTCCCGGCGCTCCCCACCGAGGGCCCCGGTGTCGCCCCTCCAGCTCCTCACCGGCTGGCCCTAACAAAGGCTCCCGAACTAACTAGATAAATAAGACAAGGGCGTGATTCTCACTGACGGAAAATGGCCACACGTCAAAGATCGTTTTACCTAGCTTGTCAGCTGAACAAGGGCGCCAGTAAGATTTACAACCAGTTCAAAAGAGAAATCAAAGAACCTACATTTCTGTGCAGTAGAGGAATGTTGGCATGGATTTACAGACGGACACAGCGTGGTTCTCCGCTGTGATGAAAGACACCCGTGTCGTCTTTTCTGCTTGTTCCCGATTTCCTTGCAGCCCCCAGCCTGTCATCAAGGCTAATCTCAAAGAAAGGCTGTCCTGGGTCAGGAGGGAGGCTGGCCCCACTGGGTTTGGCCGGGTGGGTTACACCAGGCAGCAAGCATGCCGGCCGGCCCGTGGGCCCTCCTGGGCTTGCTTGGCTGCAAGACTTCATAATTGGACTTCTTAAAGCATCTATTATTTGGTGTCCTGAGACTAAGAAGGCATTACAAAAGGCTCTCCTCCAGGTTTCATCTGCAGTGCTTACAAATGTAGGCAAACTCATCTCTTGTCAAGGCCCCGGAATATTCCAAGACTGTGGCCTTTCTTCCCACCCAGACGGCTGGGCACCTGGGGGCCAGGTTCCAGGGCAGTCCCCTGGCCTTGTCGTCACGCTCAGCATCTTCCACGTCTGGTGGTGACCTGCAGCCACCTGACCCTTTGCTGGAAGTCTCGGGGCAGATCAAGAGTGTTCACAGAGCTCTCCTGCCCTCCCCCTCGGCCCACCCCTGCTGGGGTCTGTGATAAACCCACAGAACCAGCCTGCGCCAAGTCGAAATGAACTTCACTAACGTTCAAGTGGGAAAGTCAGAAACGGCCTCACAGCGGTGGGTGCATGGCCAGGACCCCACACCGGCCCCGTCTCGGGCACAGCCCAGAGAGCCCAGGGGGGAGCTGAGGTCTGTGCTGATGTGCTGGGGGTGCGCTGCCCTGAAAACGCAGGCGTGAGAGGAGAGGCCGGGTGAAGGAAGACGCCTCTGGCTGGTGGGGGGGGTGCTCTGCAGAGAAGCTGCCAGAGCACAGAGGGAGGGGGACCTCTGAGCAGGGTGCAGAGCTGAGGGCCCAGGAGGGGCACCCCTGGACCAGAGTGAACCTGGGGGGGCTGGGGGGTCACACGCTTCAGGGACAAAGCCCAGAGCCTCAGGTGCCCACGAGGAGGTGGGCCTTCTCCTGTGGGCGAGCGACGCCCAACCAGGTCTGAGTTCTGGAAACCGAGGCTGGGAGCTGGGGCGAGGCTGGGAGCCGGGCGGGCCGGC